TCCCTCCCTCCTTCCCTCCCTTTCTCTCTCGTGCAGTCAGCACAACCCACTCCTTACTAGCAGTGATAATGTTATCTATTTGGGTCATGAAACGTCTGTAAGGAAACCACCAAGCTCAGATAACACAAAGGAACCCACAGCCCTCCTCCCTCTTCCTTCCTTCCTTTCTTCCTTCTTTCCTTCCTTTCTTCCTTCCTTTCCCTTCCCTTCCTTTCCTTTCCTTTCCTCTTCCTCCTCCCTCCCTCCCTCTCTCTTGTGGAGTTACACCCCACTCCTTACTAACACTGATAATGTTCCCTAGTTGGGTCATGAAACGTCTGTAAGAAAACTGCCAAGCTCAGAGAGTACCAAGGAGCCCACAGTCCTCCCCTCCTCCTCTCTGCAATCCCCACCTCCTTCTAGCACTGATGATGCTACCTAGTTGGGTCATGAAACGTCTGCAAGAAAGCCACCGATCTCAGAGAGCCCCAAGGACCCCACAGTTCAACCCTGAGCTACAAAGATTCTCCTTTATTGATGACTTGCTTAGTTTCCGGCAGCCCAAAGTTTTTAACCGAACTTCCGTTACTTCATGACATCCAAGCGAAGGCTGCCCATCCTACAGAATACTCAGTCCCATTTGATTAACTTCCCCCCAAAATGGGTCCGCTCGTCAAGAAGGAAACAATAGATTCAGGTGGGCAAAACTGGACGTCGAGCCAAAGAAATGAATTTGCAGCTTTAACGTTGCACAGAGGGTTTTTTTTTCTCGGCTCGCTCGGATGGGAAGGGCGCTTTGCATGTTATTTCCAGGGAAATCAAACACAAATCAATACCGCTTAGAGCTGAAACAGGAGATAAAAGAAATTCCCAACTGCCTCAAAATTTGATTCTGGCTTCTGGGGCTTGAAATATTTGTCCACTTCTGGGCCAGGTGGACACTAAGAGTCTCAATGTTATTTTGTCTGCCCGGGTGAGGCGCCCTGGGAGGCCAGATCGCTCGATTCGTGCTTGGGGGGGGGGGAGAGATGGATCGCCCCCTCCCCACTGTCATTTAGAAGAACTCATCTTTGCCTCCGAATGCCTTCGCGGAATTGTTATGAGCCAGCTATGGTGGTTGAGACCCAGACAACCTCCTAGAAAAGGGATGGATGGGCTTACAAGGGTTACAAAAGCCTGCGTTTATCTAAGAAAGCTAAACTTGGTTAGTTCAGATCGTGGTTAACTCAAGGAACACCCTCGCTCGGAGCCTTAAGCAGGCTTCCAGATGGTTGAAAGCTCCCGGGGCCTCTGAAGATCTGCAAGCTCAACCACCTTTTACGGATGGAAAAGAATAGCTCAGGGTTGAACCGTGGGATCCTTGATGCTCTCTGTGCTTGGTGGTTTTGTTGCAGACGTTTCATAACCGAAGTAGGTAATAACATCAGTGCTAGAAGAGAGTGGGGTTTGCAGAATAGAGAAGGAGGGAGGGAGGATGACAATGACTGTGGAATCCTTGGTGCTCTCTGAGCTTGGTGGTTTTCTTGCAGATGTTTCATGACCCAACTAGGTAACAATATCAGTGCTAGGAGGGAGTGGGGTTTGCAGAATAGAAGAGAAAGGTGGGAGGAGGAGGAGGAGGAAGAGGAGGACTGTTGGGTCCTTGGTGATCTCTGAGCTTGGTTGTTCTCTTGCAAACATTTCATTACCCAACTAAGTAACATCATCAGTGCTAGAAGAGAATGGGGTTTGTGGAGAGGACGACTGTGGGGTCCTTGGTGACCTCTGAGCTTGACTATTTTCTTGAGACGTTTCATGACCCAACTAGGTAACATCATCAGTGATAGAAGGGAGTGCCATTTGCTTCCTGTTTCTCTCCAAGTGGCTTGCCCTGTCCGTGTGTGTGCGTGGGAGTATTCTTGATAGTTCCTTGACTAGGCTGATGACCAACCTTTTATTCCAACTCAGACCCACCTCCCAAACCAGGAGAGCCTCTGGCCAACGAGCTCCAATCCCTTGAGTCAAACTTCTGAAGCTCACGCAGCTCAATCCAGAGCCTGCAGGCCATCTCCAAACTTCCGCCAGGATGGCCAGTTTATGGCCAGCACAGAGCTCCCCTGGCCCACTGTGCAGGAGGAGGGGAGACCCTTCCTTTGAGGCCACCTGAGCAGAGGCATCTCCAGCCAGAGCTCAGCCGGGTCTCTCATCCAGCAACTGCAGCGTGTTCCGTTGCTTGCATGCCGTTTTTTGCAGTTGCCAGCCGAGAGGAGCCAGTGGTTCCTTCCCCGGGAGAAGCCCAGAAACTGATGAAGAAGCAGATGTTGGCGGACTCAGCCTGGCTGAGACTTTCCTCCCTGCAGGAAGGGATGCTCCCAAAGCAGGGCTCTGCTGCCCTCTAGAGGCCCCTGCTGGCTTTGTGGCTTGATGGCCAACCAGCCTTGGTTGAAACAGCAAAGCGGGGCGGGGGGAAGGGGGGGGCTGCCCTGGGTTCCTCCCTGGGAGGGGAGACCACCAGGGAATCCCGGGTGGAGAGAGGCTAGGTCAGAATGTCGAAAAAACATCTCATAACAGGCAAGTTTCTTTTATGTGACACAGAAAGTTGAGTATTAGCCAGTGCTGGGATTCAGCCAGTTCGCACCTATTCGGGAGAACCGGTTGTTAACTTTCTAAGCAGTTCAGAGAACCGGTTGTTGGAAGAAATCTTATTTTGTTTTTTTTCCACTTTACAGGGCTAATCCTGTAAGGCAGGCAGGCAGGAAACATTCTGGTGGTGTTTCTAGCCTAATCTTTATTGCCCTCCTTACAGAAACTGCCTCTCTGGTTAACCCTTGTTACATTGTAACAGCTAAGGGGAAGCTGACATGACATGAGTGACATTGAGTTGGTCCACCCAGTCACATGACCACCGAGCCACGCCTACCCAGCTGGTCATTAGGGCAGAGAACCGGTTGTTAAATTATTTGAATCCCACCAAATCATGTTAGCCAAATAAATTTTCAAATTGTCTAAATTCTAGGCTGAGGATCTTAACTGATGAGCCAAATTGGTTTAATTATTTTGAATTGTTCTTATTTCACATTATATGTATGTTATTCTGACTGTTCACCGCCCTGAGTCCTTCGGGAGAAGGGCGGTATAAAAATTAAATAAATAATAATAATAATAATAATAATAACTTTAGGATTCAGACTGACAGGCACTTGGTCCACAACACACCTGACATAACAATAGTTGAAAAGAAAAAAGGATGGTTCATTGACATTGCAATATCTGGTGATGCACGGATTGAAGATAAGCAGCAAGAAAAAATCACAAAGTACCGGGACTTGCAAATTGAAGTTGAGCGACTGTGGAAAAAGAAATCGTGTGTTGTCCCGATTGTAATTGGAGCCCTCGGAGCAATACCCAAAGGGCTACCCCGCTATTTAGAAATTCTAAATTTGCCGGACTTGAACATTTTGACTCTACAAAAAACCACCTTACTCGGAACAGCTTACATCCTCCGACGATACCTTAACAGTTCCTAGGTCCTTGGTTAGGACTCGAGCTGCTGAGCTATTAACCAGCCTCAAAGGCTGTGAATCTCACCAAAGATTAACCAATAATAATAATTTGAGGGGCTGCCACAAAGAAGAGGGGGTCAAGCTATTCTCCAAAGCACCAGAAGGCAGGACAAGAAGCAATGGATGGAAACTAACCAAGGAGAGAAGAAACCTAGAACTAAGGAGAAATTTCCTGACAATGAGGACAATTAACCAGTGGAACAGCTTGCCACCAGAAGTTGTGGGTGCTCCCATCACTGAAGGTTTTCAAGAATAGACTGGACAGTCATTTGTCCTGAATGGTATAGAGCAGAGGTGTCCAACCGTGAGAATTTTAAGATTTGTGGACTTCAACTCCCAGAATTCCCCAGCCAACCACCAGGAATTCTGGGAGTTGAAGTCCACAAGGTTGGACAGCCCTGGTATAGGAGGGACACGTTAACAGTCTTCCAGTATTTGAGGGGCTGCCCCAAAGAAGAGGGAGTCAAGCTATTCTCCAAAGCCCCTGAAGGCAGGACAAGAAGCAACGGATGGAAACTCATCAAGGAGAGAAGCAACCTGGAATTAAAGAGGAATTTCCTGACAGTGAGGACACCCCCAAAATGCAGGAACCCCTATTCTCATCCGCCTGTTAAGCCTTTTAGCTGACCTGGGGGTCCCTCTCTTTGGTGTCCTGCTGCCCCCTTGTGGCCCTTTGTGAAACTTGCCAGCCTATCCTGACCCTGGCACAGAGCATCTCCCATCCCAAAGGAGGTCATGGCCCATCTGGCTGGACTCAGCAGGCAGCAGCATGGGTCCAGGGCTCCAGCAGAGGCGGCTGCCCGCTGCAGGGCATCGTGCCAGGACAGTTTTTTTTTTTCCGGCCATTGTGTGAATTCAGAGAGCGAATGACCTCCAAAAGCTAAGCTGGGTTGGGCTTGGGTGATATTTGGATGGGAGACCAAGCTGTAAGGCTAACCCAGAGGGAGGTCTCCTGAGCCCCCTGCCCTTTGGAATGATCTGCCCCCAGAAATTCGTAAAATCTCTGATCTCCGTGTATTTCGCTGTGCCCTCAAAACCTTGTTGTTCCGCCAGGCTGGGCTATCAATGTAAAGATTTTAATTGGTTTTAAATGGGATTTTAAATTTGGGGTTTTATAAATTGGGCCTATCCTTTAATAATTTTAATTTTTAAAAAAAAATTTGTCTGTCTCTGTGTTTTTAATTAGGCTGTACACCGCCCTGAGTCCTTCGGGAGAAGGGCGGTATAGAAATAAAATTAATAATAATAAATAATAAAATATTGTATTCTCTAGAATCGCCCCACAGGGGACAAAAAAAATTTCTCATTTTCCCCAAATCAGTGGACCTCTTTCTGCCTTCTTCTCCCGGGGCGCCCGCAATATGGGTCAGCAGTCAGCAAATCTTACCAAGAAAACAAACTGCCTCGTATCGCCTAACTGCGACATCAGCAAAAAAAAAAAAAACCCACACAAAAAAAAAAAACCCTTAATAAAACCTGTTTCTTTTTAAACTTTTTAAAAACGGCTTTTATTTATCATCGGATGATGCGTAGACACCCGGCGTTTGTACAAACGATGCAATAAAAGTGTTTTGACCCACTTAAAAAGATGGCACCCAACACGCAACACGCAACCATGTCCCGGAGACGTTTTGAAATACTTCCAATGCGTTATTATTATTATCGTTATGATTATTTTTTTTAAAGAGATCCGCATTGACTCCGGGGGCTACTCGGAATGCTGAAGAGATGCTGTCGTATTTTTGTGCAAAGAGGAAAAAATAATTGTCGTAGCAATGTTGCTCTTTTGAACCGATCAACGCACACATCCCCAGTTGTTTAATTTGTGCGTACACACACACCGATCGTTTCCACCTTTAGATATCAGTTGGCATGGAACTAATAATTAATAACCAAAATCAAATAATTTTTGACTGAGTAACTCGTCTTGATATTCTAGAGCAGTGTTTCTCAACCTTGGAAGCTTGAAGATGGGTGGACTTCAACTCCAGAATCCCCCAGCCAGCAACGTTGAAGTCCACCCATCTTCAAGCTTCCAAGGTTGAGAAACACTGCTCTAGACCAATTCAGACAAGTGGCTGTCCAATGAGTGGACTTCGACTCCCAGAATTCCTGAGCCAGTAAGGAATTCTGGAGTTGAAGTCCACCCATCTTCAAGCTTCCAAGGTTGAGAAACACTGCTCTAGACCAATTCAGACAAGTGGCTGTCCAATGAGTGGACTTCGACTCCCAGAATTCCCGAGCCAGTAAGGAATTCTGGGAGTTGAAGTCCACCCATCTTCAAGCTTCCAAGGTTGAGAAACACTGCTCTAGACCAATTCAGACAAGTGGCTGGCCAATGAGTGGACTTCGACTCCAGAATTCCCGAGCCAGTAAGGAATTCTGGGAGTTGAAGTCCACCCATCTTCAAGCTTCCAAAGTTGAGAAACACTGTTCTACAGCAAGGGTGGGGAATGATGGGCCCTTTATGACCTGCTGACTCAGGAATTCTGGGAGTCGAAGTCCACACGCCACAAAGGGCCCATCGTTCCCCACCTCTGTTCCAGAGCAATATTTCTCCCTTTTCAAGACATGTGGACTTCAACTCCCAGCGTTCTCCAATCAACTGGACAACTTTCAGATGAGCGGACTTCAACTCCCAGAATTCCTTACTGGCTCGGGAATTCTGGGAGTCGAAGTCCACTCGTTGGAAAGTTACCACGGTTGAGAAACACCATTCCAGACACTGATAAGCAACAAGCAAGAGAATTCCCCCCAAAACAGCCTCTTCTGACTTTTCCTGACCGTGGCACTTTAAAAAAAAAAACGAGAGGTAGAAGCCAACTTTTTCCAGTCTGGAAAAATTAAAATTTGCAAACCAAACCCCCACACCCCCGAGGCGAGATCTCTCCGCACCTCTTCACCTGATCTCAGCGAGTCTCTTTCCACCAGGAGCCCAAATCTGCCACCGCAAACCGATTCAGCCACCGCGAAGCCAGAAGCATTTAAAACCGACAGGTGTAAAAAAAAAAAACAGAATTTGTGCGCTGGAGAAGAACAGAAGCACCCAGAGACTAAAAAAAGCTACCTGGGCTTCCTTTCCGTTTTTAACCTGGGAAAAAGGCATTTGGTGAAGACTGTAACAGTCCCTGAAGGAGGAAGGAGAACAGGTGGAGACATTCCTTCGGTGCGCACCTTTCCTTGCTTGCAGGTGAGGTGTGCCAAAGCGTTCCAGGCTTGCCTTCCCCCCCTGGTGCGAGTCAGAAAGTTTTCCTGGGTGACTTTTGTCCCTTTTTCACATTCTCAACAGGAGACATTTCCAGCAGGAGAAGAAGACACCTGGTCCAGGTGGGCAGCCATGATGCCAACCGGGACGGCTTGAGGGTCCCGCCCTCAGCTGCCCCCTTGGTCGCTCTGCTTGGGCAGATCCGGCAGCTGGAAGAGGACAGTTCCTTGATCATCTTCTGCTTCTTCCTCTGAATGAGTTTCCCACCAGTGAAGCCCAGCACGCCGCCACCCAACGCCGCCGCCAGTCCGGCCACCTTAAAGCCAGCCAGGAGCCCGATTGGCCCCCCCACGATTCCCCCCAGGAGGGCGCCAGCCACTGGGAGGGCAGCCAGCTTGTAGGTTGCAGCCTGGAAAAAAAAAGAGGGACAAAGGGAGATGGTGGGGGGGGGTCATTGGAAGGGCAGGGGGGGTCTCCTTGGCATCATCAGATAACCCCACTCTCTCTGTAAGCAGGAAAAGCTGACTGGGGAGCATGGGTAATGGAGTCCTCCCGGCTTGCGAGCCGAGAGCAGCTGGTTCAGACCCACCTTGGATAAATTTCGGGTCCCTTCTTCCACGTTCGCAACCGCAGTGCAGACGTGCTCTTCGATCCGGTCGACCTTCTCCTGCTGAGCCTACGAGAAAAGCACAGATTCGTTTTTTTAATTTACATATCATGCGAATGGGGTGAGGTGGAGGGTGGAGAGCAGAACAGAGAAGAATAGAATAGACTAATAAAAAATGGGATGGGATGGGATGGGATGGGATGGGATGGGATGGGATGGGATGGGATGGGATGGGATGGAATGGAATGGAATGGAATGGAATAGAATAGAATAGAATAGAATAGAATAGAATAGAATAGAATAGAATAGAATAGAATAGAATAGAATAGAATAGAATAGAACAGAATAGAATAGAATAGAACAGAATAGAACAGAATAGAATAGAATAACAGAGTTGGAAGGGGCCTTGGAGGTCTTCTAGTCCAACCCTCTGCTCAACCAGGAGACCCTATACTTCTGAAGGCAATTTCTGTTCCATTGGTTGATTTTTCTCACTGTCATAAAATCTCTTATTTCTAGGTTGAATCTCTCCTTGATCAGGTAGTCCTCAACTTGCGACAATTGAGCCCAACATTTCTGTGGGTAAGTGAGTCATTTTTAAAGTCAGCTTTGCCCCATTTTACGTCCTTCCTTGCCACCGTTGTTAAATGAATCACTGCGGTGCGTAAGTTAGTAACCCGGTTGTTAAGTGAATCTGGCATCCTCATTGACTTTGCTTGTCAAAAGATCGCAAAAGGGGAACACATGACCATGATAGATAGATAGATAGATTAGATAGATAGATATAATATAGATTAGATATCGATATGATATATAGAGATAGATATTACAAACTATTCTAAAAATACAAGTTCCAGGTATATTAGTAAAGAAAGAAGCAGACATCCTGTGAGCTCCGGAACTTAAAATTTTAAAATAATTAAAATTTTATTTTACTAAGCTTTCGTCAGCCATCTGCTGACATCATCAGAGTATTAAACTACCATTACAGAGATCTCTGCCTTTATATGCCATTAATCAATTTGGCCACTGGAACAGTAGGAATTAAGCCTCCATCATCCAGCATGACGACAGCAAAAACAACACAGCTAATTACAAGTGGGAGACGGCTGGAAGGGCCTATTACACGTGCAATGGCCAAATTGATTAATGGCATATAATGGTAGTTTAATACTCTGATGATGTTAGCAGATGGCTGACGAAAGCTTAGTAAAATAAAATTTTAATTATTTTAAAATTTTAAGTTCCGGAGCTCGCAGGATGTCTGCTTCTTTCTTTAGAGATAGATATAAATATATCATAGAGATGGTAGGTACGTAGGTAGATAGATAAGAGATATAGATTAGATTATATAGATATTATATAGATATAGATATATACCGGTAGATATATATATAAATACATAGATTATATAATTATATAGATATATATGGATATATAGATATAGATATGATATATTGATATATATATATATATATTCAGGAGCCTGGATAGCTCAGCAGACTAATGCATTGTAATTTAACTCCAGCTGTCTGCAATTAGTAAGTTCGAATCTCGCCAGGCTCAAGGTTGACTCAGCCTTCCATCCTTTCTAAGGTAGGTAAATTGAGGACCCAGTTTGTGGGGGCAATAAGCTGACTTTGTATAAATATACAAAAGGATGAAGGCTATTGCTGAGCGCATTGTAAGCTGCCCTGAGTCTCCGGAGAAGGGCGGCATATAAATCAAATTAAATATATATATAGAGAGAGAGAGATTAGATATACAGATTAGCTATAGATATGATATAGATATATAGATGAAGGAGTCAGTTGCCAAGCATCTTAATTTTGATCACATGATCCCGGGGATGCTGCAACCGTCGTAAATGTGAAAAATGCTCCCAAATGCCTTTTTGCAATAACTTCGATCACTAAATGAATGCTTGCAAAGTTGAGAACCAGCTGTACTTTGGGCCTGCACTGTATCTTCAAAAGTTACTTCCAAGCTTCCTTCTCACAGCTGCACATTCATTCTGTGCTGCGGAGAAAGAGGCCCTGCTAATTTTAAGAGCCGACCAATTTGCAAATGGGTGCTTACTCTATCCAAGTTATGGTTCCCCTCCTTTTTTTTTTTCAATTCAGAATCAGTTGCAGTCAGAAATGGAAGCATTAAAATAGACCCCAGCTAGCAAAATTCCTCCTGGACGATTGTTTGGAACTGCAAATAGGTCTATATTTTTTCCCCTGGATTATCATGGCAGAGAATTCCAAAGCTTTTTTCCCCGAATTATCATGGCAGAGAATTCCAAAGTTTTTGGGGTAGAAAACCAGTAAGATTCTGGTTCTCTTTTGTTAGAATCCAGAGGGGGAGGAAAAAAGAGAAAAAAACTTTGCTCTACTTACATTAACAAGCAGGGAAAACTCGGTCACCAGAGTGCTGAGTTCAATCAGATCCTAAAGAAAAAGTCCAAACGTTACTTAGTTTATTCATATATTTTTTTGTTTAAAATTGTTACTAGTTTATCAAAATATAATACAAAGACAAAAGATTAAAAAATGAGAAAAAAGGGGAGAAGGATCTCTTTTTAGAATAAGGTCGTAACATACCACCTCAACTTTTTACTTTTACGTAATAATATATACTAGCCATTTCTATAACAACAAACCTATCTCATCGGCAAAACCAAAATTTCATTTTTTTTTCCGTCTCAAGCACAAAGTCCAGAAACGGTTTCCAAATAGAAACAAAAGTAATTGTGGTTTTTTTCCCTTTAATCAATTTATCTATATTTGCTACTAACTCCATCAACTTTTGCAACCGTTCATCCACAGTGGAAATCAAAGTGTCCATTTTTGTGCATAAAATAATCTTGCTGTCATCAACATATATAACATCAAAGTTCCAATTTTTTCCCCAAGTTCTTTGTCTGTTAGGCCTAAAATAAATTTCTCTGGTTTTATCTTTATATTCACTTTAAGAATCTTCTCTATTACAATGTGAATCCAATATTTCTTTGCTTTGTCCCATGTCTACCATAAATGATAAACGGTCCCATCTTTACATTTGCATTTCCAACATTCACTTGAAACACCTTTACGCATCCTTGACAACTTATCCGATGTTAAATACCAACTGTACATCACCTCATAAAAGTTTTCTTTTGTATTATAATTTAGTTTAAATTTTAGACCTTTCATCCACCAAAACTTTACTTGCTCTAATAGACATTTTAACAGGAACATCGTGTTTGAAAAGAAAATGTCAGGGTAAAGATTTAAGAGCTGACCAGCTGCTACAATGATGTAATGCTGAGAATGAGTCAGCAAGGTTTTTGGGCTAATATCACTTTAAGAGCCTGTAATAAGAAGAGGCCCTGTTGAGGCGTATCTCTCTCTCCGTGTGTGCTTCTGTGCTGTAATTACTGTTTGTTTGAGGCCTGACTAAACTACGTGTATGTATATATTCTTTGTAGATAAACCACTATTTAAATACAAACCACTGTTTGCTGTATTTGTTCCTGGGTTGTCTCACATAGTCACACTGTGCACACTCTGACAGAAAATAATGATGGGATTTGCAACTTACCTCTTCTAACACTTCCCAGGATTCTGCAGCATTTTGATCCTGGGGGATTTCCGGTAACGGAGCAAAAATCTGGGTGAGGGAATTTTCTCCACCTTCGGCATTAGAGAAAGTTTCTGAAGGAAAACAACGCACAGTCACTGTGTGCCCTTATCAACACTGAAAAACAGGAAATAAATATTATGCACAGGCAGAACCATTACACAACGACAGCTGTGGCAACGGATTTTATAAAGCATCCTGCCCCGAGGAATAAAAGAAAAATTACAACAGCAGATACAAGGATACAGGTAAACTTACGATCACAATTGAGCCCAAAATTTCTATCGTTAAGTGAGACATTTATTTGTACAGTGAGTTTTGCCCCGTTTTAATGACCTTTCTTGCCATGGTCGTTGAGTGAATCACTGCGGTTGTTAAGTTAGTCACTCGGTTAGGTGAATCTGACTTCCCCACTAATTTTTATTTATTTATTTATATGCCGCCCTTCTCCGGAGACTCAGGGCGCTTACAATGCGTTAAGCAATAGCCTTCATACTTTTGTATATTTATACAAAGTCAGCTTATTGCCCCCCACAACCGGGTCCCCATTTTACCTACCTTAGAAAGGATGGAAGGCTGAGTCAACCTTGAGCCTGGTGAGATTCGAACTTGCAGTAATTGCAGACAGCTGGTGTTAATAACAGTGCTTTAGTCCACTGTACTACAGGCTCTTTATACTTTATACAAAATATACTTTGGTATATTTATACAAAGTCAGCTTATTGCCCCCACCAACTGGGTCCTCATTTCACCTACCTTAGAAAGGATGGAAGGCTGAGTCAACCTTGAGCCTGGTGAGATTCGAACTCGCAGTAATTGCAGGCAGCTGGAAGCTAAATACTACCTTTAACAGTAGCATTAATCTGCTGCGCCACTCAGCCTCCAAAATTCCTGATGAATTTTGTTCATCAGGAGGTCACAAAAGGGATCCCATGACTCCGGGATACTGCAACCGTCATAAAGTCATCTGAATTTTGATGACATGATCGCAGGGATGCTACAACAGTTGTAAGTGTCAAAAAGAGTCGTAAGTCCCTTTTATCAGTGCAAATTCAAATAAAAAAAACCCGCCACTAAATGAAAGATTGTAAGTCAAGGACTGCCTGTATACGGATTTATGGCCTTCTCCAGTGTACGAATGCCCACAGAATTCTTCCATCAACCTTCCACATCTGGCCATCTCCAGAAACATCTGATCTAGAAGCCACCGGGTGGGGCCAGCATGAACATTTTCAAATGCAGCCTATCTGAATGGTAACCAAATCTGAATGGTAAATTATTATGCTAAGCGCCTGCTTCTTGAAGCGATGCTCAGAAATACAAATTAATGGCTGGGGGACTGTGGCACAGTCGCTCTCTCTCACAGGGTTGTTGTTGTGGGGAAAATAGGAGCAGGGAGGGGGATTAGGTATGTTGGCTGCCTTGAATTACATGTATATACATATACATATTTTATGACTTTAAAAAGACCAGAACTATTGCCAAAACTGAACACTTTAATAACAGAATAATCAGAGAAGCCATCGAGATAGAAAAACGCCCACACAGAATGAATAAACGAGATGATACCTCCCGCCTACCAGCCATTTAGAAACCCGCCCCTATTGACAAACGAGTCCCTAACATAAAGAATGACACCAGACCCACACTCACGAAAACCACATAGGATGTCACCATCACACATCCATGCAAAAAGCAAACCCACACCAATGAGGCATGACCACAAACCAAAAGCCAGACCACAGCTGGATCATTAGCCACTTTAAACCCCTCCAATCCATACATGAAGCAAACTGACACCCACCATGAAGAGGTGGCACGACCACGAACGTGAAGCCAAACAACAGCAACGCAGCTCACCAGCTCAAATCCCCCTGCAACTCAGACTAACCCGAGCACAACCAAACCCCCACCCAAACAGAACACAGCCCCAGCCAATCAGAACACAGCCAAGCTCCCACCCAATCAGTTCACACCCCCACTGGCAGTTAAAAGGAAGAAACAGCTGCGATCACACATTGCTCCTAGAAGCACAAAAGCCGAAAACACCAACCTGAAGATGACGAATGAGACTTCATCGAAACGTCGCCAAGACACCAATTTTATGCAGGAGAAAACCCGAATAACCAAAGACCTACATATATACATATATATATATATATATATATATATATATATATATATATATAATATACTTATTCTATAATACTTTTAGAATTCTATATAAGTATCAGAGAACTAGAAACCCTGTCTACTGCAAACCCATTGTTGTGCCCTGTCGGCCTCCGGCTCCTCCAGCAGCCGAATCAGAGAAGGAGGAAGAGGAGGAGGAGGAGGCGTGGGACTTAGGGTCAGCATCAAGGCAACCCGAGCTCCGAGGAGGAAGAGGGAGAGCTGGCAGAGAGAGAGACAGAGCTATAGCCTGGGCCGGCCGTCAGCCATCAGATGGAAAGTCAACAGCCCCAGGTCTGGAGGTGGCTGATGAAGAGGAGGAGGAGGAACAGCTGGGTCCAGTGCCTGACGCACGAATGCGCAGAAGGCAGAGGAGAGGAGAGCAGTGGAAATCTATGGGCCGGTCCTTGGGACGGAAGAGCCACCACTGCTAGCGACGCCCCACCCTAGCTCTGGGAATAAAAGGCAGGGGACAGAGATGAATAGATGTGGCAAACAACTATTCATCTCCCGGACAGACGGACTTGTTAGCCTGAGGTGAAAGAGAAAGTTTTTGCTGGCGCTCCTAATGAAGGAATCATTGCTTCAACTACAGAGGGCTTGTCGTGTTTGGGGAGCTGGGTCAGAACATCCATGCACACCGACCACATCCTCAGCTTTGCAAGCAACCATCCCACCCGCACACAATAGTTGTGTCCAGACCCTGTTCAGAAGGGCCAGGACACACTGCAGCACCACAACACTAAGAAAAGCGGAAGAGAAATGGCTGCTCAGCGTCTTTCTCCGTAACTATCCAAAAAAACCCTTCATATTGTGACACACAGCACCCGAACCACAACATACTACACAGCCAACCACCACGCAAAAATGAATCCTACAGTACACAAAAGGGATGTCGGAAATGACAGCCAGAATCCTCCAACCTTTAGCAATTGCCCACAACAGACCCATTGAACCTACAACCAGCCTACGAACCCCTCGGAATCCATCCAGCCAACCAGAGACACACCGACTCTCCACCAACCCAGGCAAGCCCCCCCCCCTCCCCATCAGCAGTTCACTGTTGTGACCCAGGCCCATGTAGTTAATATTAAATGCAAAACAGTTCCAAAAAACAAGCAGGTTTTATTAAAACAGCTGAGAATTAACTCGTTCTCAGCATGTTCCAAATGAAATGAAAGCAAAGTCCTCAAAACACCAGTCTTCAGTTTATCTCTGATCTTGGGATAATTAGGCAAACTGCCAAAGGCTTCTCTTGGCAACAGTTCAGGAACAGAAGAAGCTGACAAGAAAGAAATACATCCAAACATGAAGCAAATCTCTCAACGGTTGTTTTCCGGCAAAGAGGCCAAGAGCTGTTGTTGGTCTTTTAAACCTTATGGGAGGGGCCAATCATCTCTTGACCCTACTCCCGAGTCATCCTCTCTGCTTTATCTGCTCCTCCCTGCCTCTGGCAGCTCTTCTCATGCATGCACTAGGAACAGGCTCCTCCTGTTCCTTTGCCTCTCTACTGTCAGCCTCTGGAGGCTCCGAAGTCCGCACATCACTCCCCGATGGCCCTGGCCCCATCTCTGCCTCTGACGCCGAGCCCTCATCCGGGCCTTCCCCAGCCTCCGGGACTGGCCCATGTTCTTCCTCAGCCTCATCGCTGTCCAACTCCGCTGCCAGCTCCACAGGCTGCTGGCAAACCACAAGATTCACCTCCCAATGGCCCTCACCTGATATAACCTCCTCATCACAAGAGCCATTACAAGGCCCTCCCTTGACATACCCACACACCTGAAGTCCTTACAAGCAGAAGAACGCAACTGACCTCCCCTAAACTCCGCTGAAGATGTTACCTGGCCAAGTAACGAAACGTTCGGAAACCAACCCACAAGCTCGGAGAATGAACCTCCACCCTCATCCCTTCATCCTTCCATTCCCTCACCATCCGGTCAGAGCCAAAGAAGCTTCTTGGATGAGAAGCGAAACTCGGTCTCAGTGACGTGAAACGAACGTACAGAAAATAAGCAAGATGAACAAAAAAACCTAAACAAAATGAGGATATTGAAAAGCCTTTTTCATAATGCATGTCAAAATTGGGAAAGAGAAAAGAACTGATCATTCAGACCAAAGAATAAACTGGTTGCTACCTGCATGCTGTAATTGAATTTTTTTTTAAAAATGCAGGTAGCCCTCAACCTACGACCACAATTGAGGGTCTCCTGCCTGAGTAGGGGGCTGGACTAGAAGACCTCCAAGGTCCCTTCCAGTTCGATTCTGATTCTGATCTTCAAAGAAAAAACCAGAAAGTCCAGTTGCCTCTTGGAAAAAGCATCTTTGGGACCCTCATCCTACGAGCTATGGATATTCCCTACTATTGCAATGAATTCTATTTATTATAAAAAAAAATATTATTTATTTATTTATTATTCAATTTATATGCCGCCCTTCTCCGAGACTCAGGGCGGCTTACAATGCGTTAAGCAATAGCCTTCATACTTTTGTATGTACCTGCTTAGTAGGGCTTTCGCCCCCCCCCCCCAAAGCGGTGTTCTTTTTATACAAAGTCAGCTTATTGCCCCCACAAACCGGGTCCTCATTTTACCTACCTCAAAAGGATGGAAGGCTGAGTCAACCTTGAGCCTGGTGAGATTCGAACTTGCAGTAATTGCAGGCAGCTAGTGCTAGTTAACAGCACTTTAGTCTGCTGCGCCACCAAGGCTCTAATAGTAATGCTGGCTGGGGAATTCTGGGAGTTTAAGTCAATGCACCTTAAAGTAGCCGAAGTTGGAAAACCCTGAAATACAGGTAACCCACAACTTACAACCACAATTGAGCTCAAAATTCCTGACAGTTGTTAAATAATAATAAAGCCAGGATAAAAAAAAATTAAATGCTTAAATAAACAGTACCAGTTCCGACAGTGGTGGACCGAGTCAAAGCAGCCTCCTGCTCTCTGAACTGCCTTTTCAGCACTTCGGCCGACTCCGAATGCAGCTGCAAAAATTCTTTGATGGCCAACGAAGCCTCTTCTTTCACGGGGTCAATCATTCTCTGCAGGGTCAGAATATCTTCCTTCCGGACTCGGGCGCAAAGGTTCTCCATCTCTCGGATATTTGCTCGCAGCTGCTGTAATATTTTGGAAAAAAAAGTCATCCGTTTTACCTCAGTTAGGCATCAAGCTAGACACCAAAGAAATAGAATTTTATTTATTATATATAATAGTAGTAACGCTGGGACGTGATGGCTCAGTGGCTAAGATGCTGAGCTTGTCGATCGAAAGGTCGGCAGTTCAGCGGTTCGAAGCCGCATATCGGGGTGAGCTCCTGTTATTTGACCCAGCTTCTGCCAACCTAGCAGTTCGAAAGCAGGTAAAAAATGCAAGTAGAAAAATAGGGACCACCTTTGGTGGGAAGGTAAGTGTTCCGTGCACCTTTGGCATTGAGTCATGCCGGCCACATGACCACGGAGACGTCTTCGGACAGCGCTGGCTCTTTGGCTTTGAAACGGAGATGAGCACCGGCCCCTAGAGTCGGGAACGACTAGCACATATGTGCGAGGGGAACCTTTCCCTTTCCCTTTACTAACACTGGCTGGGATATTCTGGGAGTTGAAATCTATGCATCTTAAAGTAGTTACTTCAAGTTGGGAAAACCTGACATCCAGGCAAAATTGCTGAGTTGTTAAAGCAGGATTTGCTCCGTTTTTCAACCTTTCTTGCCACAGTCATTAAGCGAATCACTGCCGTTAACATGGTTGTTAAATGAACCTGGCTTCCCCACTGACTTGGTTGATCAGAAGTTCGCCAAAGGTCGGAGATCAGGTGGCCCTGGACACAGCAACGGTCCTAAGTATGAGCTAGTTGCCAAGGATCTGGATTTTGATCATGTGAACATGGGGATCCTGGACCGAGGTTGTTAAGTGTGAAAAACAATCATACATCAGTTTGTTCAGTGCTATTGTAATTTCAAACAGTCACCAAACAAAGATTCTTTTTTTCCTAAGGGGGAAAAAATGGACTTTCTGTTTTTTCTTGGAAGAGGTTTCTCTTCTCATCCAAGAAGATTCTTCAGCTCTGGAGAATCTCATTATCTTACAGAGCTGAAGAAGCTTCCTGGATGAGAAGCGAAACCTCTTCCAAGAAAAAACAGAAAGTCCACTTGCCTCATGAAAAAAGCACCTTTGGGACAACCAGGACCTGGAGGACAGAGAATCTCCATAGACAAGTCACCAAACAAATGATCATAAATCCAGGACTATCTATCATGCTGGCTGGGGAATGCTGGGAGTTGAAGTCCATATGTCTCAAAGTGGCTAAAGTTGGAAAATCTTAAAATACACGAAAAGGGCCCAAAAGAACGGCTCTTGGGCCCAGATGGAGGAATCACAAACTCAGCTATTTCCCCACCCACTCCCCAAGCTCAGCCATTTTTAAGAAGTGTGGACTTCAATTCCCAAGAATTCCCCAGCCAGGCCCAACATCTGAGATTGCGTAAAGATTCGGGACTGAGGCAGTTTATATGTCTTTTAAATAAATAGACCCAACCAATAAAATGAGGCCACATTACCACAGCTGTGCTTTCCCCAGAAATGATCTACCAAGGGTTCATTTTCCCAAAAAAAGCTATTTTGTCTTCTCCCGCGGACGTCTACGGCCGCCATCTCCTTACCTGAACAGTACGGCCGGCATTGATATGCTCTTCGTGCAGTTTGTCCCACAGCCTGCACCTCTGGTACTAAAGACAACAGGGAGGAAAGAACATCAAAAAACATGGCATCTCCATCAGCAACGAGTCAAACCATCCAAGGATTATTATTATTATTTTTTGCCTCTTTTCTTGGGAAAGTGGGATACTCTCAAGAAATTACATCCGAGACATTTCTCCGTTGGAGGGAGCGTGAATTTCTGAATTTGAACAAGCAGCAGTTTCTAGAAGTATGATAAAGGCAGAATGTTTATGCTGAAAATTAATTCATCAAAATAAATTCCCTGACAGTTAGAACAATGAATCAGTGGAACGACTTGCCTCCAGAAGTTGTGAATGCTCCAACACTGGAAGTTTTTAAGAAGAGATTGGACAACCGTTTGTCTGGAATGATATATGGCTTCCTGCTCTAGCAAGGGGTTGGACTAGATGACCTCCAAGGTCCCTTCGAACTGTACTCTACTCTATTCTGTCCTGTTCCATATCCGACCTATCCTATTCTATCCTATTCCATATTTTCTTTTCTTTTCTATTCTTCTGCATTCTATTTCTATTTCTATTATTTCTACTCTACACTACATTCAGCCAAACTATTTCAATTTGCTTTTCGATGAAGCAGATAGCAAAGGGACATTTTTCAACACAGGTGTAAATTTATTTCTTTAATCACATTTGTATAGCTGCCCATCTCAGTCACTCTGGATGGCCTACACAGTAATAACCAAGAATGTATAAAAACCGTTAAAACAACCAATTTAAGTTAAAATATTTTTTAAAAATGGCAGGAAGGGATATAAACATAGGACATTCCATTAAACTGTCATACAACTAGCCAACAGGCCCCGCTCTACTTAAGGGGTACCCAAACTAGTTGACATTCATTATTTAAGGACCCCCCCCAAAAGCCTCACTTCGAGGGAAGCAATGTTCCACAGGGCAAGGGCCCCAATACAGGTAGTCTTTGACTTACGACCAAAATAGAGTCCCAAATTTCCATACCTAAACAAGGCGTTCTAAGTGAGTCTTGCCCCATTTTACGACCTTTCTTGCCATGGTGGTTAAGTGAATCACTGCAGTGGTTAAGATAGTCACACGGTCGTTAAAGTGAATCCAACTGTGCTGGTCAGAAGTTCGCAAAAGGGGGCCAATTTGACCCCGGACACTGCAACCGTCATAAGTACGAGTCAATTGCCAAGCGTCCAAATTTTGACCACTTGACCATGGGGATGCTGCAATGGTCGTAAGTGTGAAAAACAGTCGTAAGTCAATTTTTTCAATGCCGTTGTAACTTCAGTCACTAAACAAAGGAGCCTGAGTGGCGTAGGAGGCTAATGCCTCCTACTAAGGCAGCATTTAACATCCAGCTGCCTGCAATTAAAGTAAGTTCGAATCTTACCAGGCTCAAGGTTGACTCAGCCTTCCATCCTTTCTAAGGTAGGTAAAATGAGGACCCAGTTTGTGGGGGCAATAAACTGACTTCGTATAAATATACAAAAGGATGAAGGCTATTGCTTAACGCACTGTAAGCCGCCCTGAGTCTCCGGAGAAGGGCGGCATATAAAAATAAATAAATAATAAATAAATAAATAAAATAAACAAATGGTTGTAAGTCGAGAACTACCTGTACGAGACTGTTCCTCTTAGGTCCTGCCTGACCACATTCCCCATCTTATGAGACCCGAAGTGTGCACCTCCTGCCATTAACCTCCTTAAGGTTCATATTTTTTTTAAAAAAAGAAAATAATTAACCTTCTCAATATTGATCTGATGTTTCCTTAACCGCTCCAGATCTGTGGGAATGGCAACTTTAATAAACTTCTGGATGGCTGGCTCGAGGCGACGCAAATTAACTTTTTCTTCCTCTTTAGACATCTTTGGCGGTTTAACCCAGCGCGGTGTAGAGCTCCGGTTACCTAGGCACAATTCGAAAGATTATTTGAATGCGGCACGCAATCATAGAATCACAGAATTGCTAAGCACCTCAGAGGTCATCTAGTCCAACCCCAATTGGTGTAGCAGGACCTGTTAAAGCATTTTAGAGACTGAGAGTCTATGGAGATTCTCAGCCATCCAGGTCATGGTTGTTGTTAGGAAATGATTTGACCTAACTTGTTGGGTTGGCAATATATAAACCATCATTATAGCTTTAAGACTGCTGTATTGCTGTATTGCATCACACTGTGTCCTGATTGGTTAGCTCTGTAGCCAATGTCCTCAAGAGGGAGCTAGAAACATGGTTTGTTTCTCTTTGCTGATATCTTTGCTGTTTGCTGTGTGCTCTTTACTGCTCTTTGCTGTGTTTGCTACTGTTTGCAAATATAGAAGAACTGTTAATGTGTTGACTACAATGACTGGTAAGAAGACTTTGTTATTCGATTATCCCTGGACTATTGTTTTGCTATCCACTGCTTTATCTGTGTATGATCTGGACTGTTTATTGGACTGTGCCTTATTACTATTTCCTGAAAGTAAACACAACTCAGTGTATCTCTGTGTTGGCTGTGTTATTTAGTAACTACTCTCAATCACTTTTCATGTGCACACCCTTGCTACTCAAGGGTTGCTCTGCGAATTCCTTAACAGTTGTCTCAAAGGTGCTTTTTTCAAGAGGCAATTGGGCTTTGTTTTTTTCTTTTGAAGACATTTCACTCCTCATCCAAGAAGCTTCTTCAGCTCTGACTGGATGGTTTAGACAAGAGCTATATAGCTTCAGTTGGAGTCGGGGGGGGGGGGTGACGTGGGGGGGGGGTATCGATCTATTCTCCAAAGCCCCTGAGGGCAGAACAAGCAGCAATGGATGGAATCGAGAAGGGGAGCAACCTAGAAATAAGGAGAAACTTCCTGACGGTGACCCAAAGCTGCTGTTCGAAAGACAAGTGGACTTTCTTGGTTTTTTTTCCTTGAAAAAGATTTGTTTCCCATCCAAGAAATTTCTTCACTTCTTTGTGAACTGAAGAAGCTTCTGGGATGAGAAGTGAAACGTCTTCAAGGGAAAAAAAGTCCAGCTGCCTTTTGGGACAACCATGACCGGGATGACTGAGAATCTCCGCAGACATTCTTGACTGTGAGAACAACTAACCAATGAAACAGCTCGCCTCCAGAAATTGTGAATGCTCCATTTCTGGAGGTCTTCAAGAGGAGACTGGACAGCCGTTTGTCTGAAATGGTACAGGGTCTCCTGCTTGAGCAGGGGGTTGGACTAGAAGACCTCAAGGCCCCTTCCAACTCTGTTATTCGGTTGTTTTTATTTATTTATTTTATTTATTCAATTTGTATACCGCCCTTCTCCTAGTGGACTCAGGGCAGTGCACAGCCAGAACTAAAAGACATACCAAATACAAAATTTAAAATTATTAAAAGAATTATATAAATGTGGCCCAAAAATTTAAAACATTGAAAACTAAAACCCATTTGACAATTTAAAAAGCTAAAAAAGATTTTTAAAAAAAAGGGGGGGGGTTCACGCCAGCCCTGCTTGATGGAAAAGAAAAGTTTTTAGGGCACAGCGAAAGACCCGAAGATCCGATATCCTTCGTATCTCCGGGGGCAAATCGTTCCAGAGGGCAGGAGCTGCCACAGAGAAGGCCCTCCCCCTGAGGGTCGCCAGCCGACATTGCCTGGCTGACGGTAACCCTGAGGAGTCCCTCTCTGTGGGAGCGTACTGGTCGGTGGGAGGCTATCGGCGGCAGAAGGCGGTCCCGCAAATACCCAGGTCCCATGCCATGGAGCGCTTTAAAGGTGGTTCTGTTCTGAGTCCTCGGTGAAGGGAAGTTTTGTTTCTATTCCACTGGTCCTTCAGGAAATTCCTCCTCACATCTACCTACTGCCCCATCATTTCAGGTCCTTGTTTCTGGTCTTTCCCTCCCAGAGGAGCACAGAACTAGCCCTCTCTCTCCTCCCCTCGACAACCATTTGGATATCCGAAAAACTGCCACCGTTTCTCTCCCCAAACTTCTCTTCTGCAGCTAACATACCCAGGTCTTTTCACTCTTCTTCAAAGGACCTGTTTCCAGGCCCTTTGGCGCTCCTGGTGACCTTCCCTGAACTCACTCCAGGTTGTTAGCTGTTGGCTTTCAGCCCTGCAGAGTCCGGTATTCCGAGTGAAACCTGGCCAAAAGAGAGCAGAATGGGACCATTATTCCATAGATCTGGACTCTCTATTCCTCTTCACAGATCTCTAAATAGCTTTTAGAAGCTCCACTGAATGGTAGGCTCGCTAGAGCGGGTTCAAACTCTTCTCCAGATTTTCATGGGCATTTTTGACCACAAAAAAAAGAAGCAATGGAAGAGAATTATTTGTAGCTCAGGGTTGAACTGGGGGGCGGGGGGTGTTCTGTCCTAGGTACTCTCTGAGCTTGTTTGGTTTCTTTAAACCCAACTAGGCAACATCGTCAGTGCTAGAAGAGAGGGGGCATTACGGAGTGGAGGAAGAGAAGAGGAGGAGGAAGAGGAGAACTGTGAGATGCTTGGTGTTCTCTGAGGTTGGCGGTTTTCTTGCAGATGTTTCAGGACCCAACTAGGTGACATCATCAGTGTTAGAAGGGAGGAGGAGGAGAAGGAAGCAAGAGAGGAGGGGGAGAGGAGGGAAGAAAGTGGGGAGGGAGGGAAGGAAGAGGGGGAGGGAGGAGAGAGATTGTGGGGTCCTTGGTGTTCTCTGAGGTTGGTTCTTTTCTTCCAGATGTTTCAGGACCCAACTAGGCAACATCATCAGTGTTAGAAGGGAGGGGAGTGTGCAGAGAGGAGGGGGAGGCGAAGGAAGCAAGAGGGAGGGGGAGGAGGGAAGAGTGGGGGGGGGATTGTGGGGGTCCTTGGTGTTCTCTGAGGTTGGTTCTTTTCTTCCAGATGTTTAGCAAAGCTAACAGCATATTAAAAAGGATTCTCTGGCTGGATGTGAACTGGGCTGCAGGTTTTATTCCATTTTTAATTGTGGCTTTTAAGGACAGCTGTGCTGTCCCTGGTTCTGCTGGTTGGGAGCTGCCCAGAGTAACTGGGGGCGGGGGGGGTGTGAATAAATGAAGCGGAGAAAGCCAATAAAGCCAGAGGGCAGGCAGAGAGGAGGAGGCTGCAGCGCCCACCGCCTCTTTCTTTCTTCCTGCCTGCCTGCCAGGCTCCACCCTGGGATCTCCTGGTGGTCCCCACTCCCAGCCAAGGGGAATCAGGCTGGGGCGGAAGGGGAGGTGGGGGGCTCCCCCGCCCCTCAGCACCACCCCCACCCCCCACCCCGCCTTCGCCTCTATGGGGTGGACTACATAACCCTCCCCCAAGCCCCCTCCCTGGCTGAGGGTGATGGGAGTTGTAGTCCCACACCCTGTGGGTGGGGTGAATCTCCCTTTCCCTCGCCAGGCTCACCTCTCCGCCGCCTCCGCCGCCGCCGCCTCCTTCCCTCGCCAGCCCGTCTCCTCCGGAGGCCCCACCGGGTCTGCGGCCCCGCTACGCCCCCCACCGCCCTGGAACCCGGAAGAAAGAGAGGAAGTAAACAGGAAAAGGCGGAGCCCCCGGACCATAGAGGCCACCAGAGCGTCGCTTCCACCGGATGGAGGCGGGATTTCCGGCGCGCGTGAGCGGCAGCGCCACCCTTTGCCTGAGCACGTGATCCTCAGCTGGGGAGGAGAGAGAGAGAGATGGAAGGATGGATGATATAGACCAAGGGTCTCCAGCCTTGGGAACTTTAAGCCTGGAGGACTACAACTCCCAGAATTCCCCAGCCAGCAAAGCTGGCTGGGGAATTCTGGGAGCTGTAGTCCTCCAGGCTTAAAGTTCCCAAGGTTGGAGACCCCTGATATAGGCAGAGAAAGACAGCGGATGGATGGATGGATGGAGATAGAGAGCAAGAGAGAAAGAAACAGATAGTTACCAAGATGTAGATGAATGGATGGACATAAAGGGATAGATAATAAATCTAGATAAAGGATATTTTTTTTTATTATTATTATTTTTATTTATATTTATATGCCGCCTTTCTCCGGAGACTCAGGGCGGCTTACAATGCGCTAAGCAATAGCCTTCATCCTTTTGTATATTTATACAAAGTCAGCTTATTGCCCCCACAATCTGGGTCCTCATTTCACCTACCTTAGAAAGGATGGAAGGCTGAGTCGACCTTGAGCCTGGTGAGATTCGAACCTGCAGTAATTGGAGGCAGCTGGTCTTAATAACAGGGTGCTTTAGACCACTGTATTACCAAGGCTCTTGGTATATGAGATAGATAATAGAATGAATGAGTGAATGCATGAAAGATAGATAGATAGATGGATGGATGGATGGACGGATGGATGAATGGATGGAAAGAGATGATGGATGGACGGATACAGAGATGATAGACAGACAGACAGACGGATGGATGCAGAGATGGTTACAGAGATATAGAAGGATGAAGGGATAGATAATAAAGAGAGATAAAAGAGAGAGAATGAATGAACGATACAAAGAGTTACAGAGATATAGATGATGGACATAAGAGGATAAGAGGATAAAGCTAGATAAAGGATGTATGAGATAGATAATAGAATGAATGAATGAGTGAATGCATGACATAGATAGATAGACAGATAGACAGATTGAGAGACACTAAGATGGTTACAGAGATATAGATGATGGATATAAGGGGATAGATAATAAAGCTAGATGAAGGATATATGAGATAGATAATAGATAAAATGAATGGATGGATGGGTAGATACAAAGATGCAGAGATAGAGATAGTTACAGAGAAATAGAAGGATGGACATAAAGGGATAGATAATAAAGTTAGATAAAGGATATATGAGATAGATGTCTATGGAGATTCTCCGTCATCCAGGTCATGGTTGTCCCAAAGGTGCTTTTTCAAGAGGCAACTGGACTTTTCTTGTTTTTCTCCAAGGAGCTTCTTCAGCTCTTCAGAAGCTTATTTGTGGAAACACCATCAAGTCACATTTTTCAGTGTCATTTGTAACTTTGAATGGTCACTAAATGTAAATTGAGGACTACCTATCATTCATAGGGCTCTGCCAGGGTTGTTACTCAACGCTTTCAAGGTGCCTTCAAATGCATTCTGGATTTATTTATTTATTTTACTTCCATCTAAGACAGTCAAGAGCATACAACGGGGCATCTATGGGGATTCTCAAGTCCTCTGGGTCACAGTTGTCCCAAAAGTGCTTTTCCAAGTGGCAACTGGACTTTCTGTTTTTTCTTTGAAGATGTTTTGCTTCTCATCCGAAAAGCTTCTTCAGCTCTGACTGGATGGAGGGGAATGGAAGGATTTTAATAATAAATTTATTTACGGTCACAGGATTTATACTCCTTGCAGACAGCTGGTCCTTTGCATCCTTTTTGAGGGTTGTTGAAGCCACCTGGAGCTTTTTCTGTGACCTGAATGGTGCTTCAATGACCCTCTAAAAAGGATGCAAAGGACCAGCTGTCTGCAAGGAATATGAATCCTTCCATTCCCCTCCATCCAGTCAGAGCTGAAGAAGCTTCAAAGAAAGGTTTCAAAGAAAAAATAAAAGCCAGCTGCCTCTTGAAAAAGCATCTTTGATACAATGGGGTGCATTCCCCTTTACTGTCTTGTAGATGTTGACTAAGCCAGCATTACCACTGAGAGGGAAATATAGGGGTTTATAATCCCCCAAACTTGGACAATGTCAGGTTGCCAAAGCCTGATTTGTTTGCCTAGGGAAAACTATGACATGATGCGTTTTCTTCCACTCCCTTCTTTCCCCTTACTCTATGGTAACAGAATAAGAGCTGCAAGGGACCTTGGAGATCTTCTAGTCCAACCCCCTGCTCACGCAAGAAGCCCTATGCCATTTCAGACAAGTGACTGTCCGATCTCTTCTTAAAAAGCTCCAGTGTTGTATCATATTGCCTTTTTATTTTGACAATTTGAATTCCTCAAATTTTAAAGAGTATTTTTTCCCCAAAAAATTATACTTGCATTTGCTTTTTTTATTTTTATTAATGTAAAATTCAATTAAAATATAAAATGTTATCAGTACTGCATTATTAGCAACACGGCCTTCAGATTTTATTAATATTTTTAAAAACTGAATCATGACAAATATGGAAGATGTAAGATTGTTTCGGGCTTTTGGGGCATGAAGAGATTTAGAAGCGCAGCCTAACAACGAAAACATTTCTCTCGATATTTGCATATACTTTCTCCTTTTTCTTCCAAAGCTCCCAGTTGCATTAGAGATATCCTAATTGTTCTCATTTATCTACAGATTTTATTCTCGATATATTTTACAGCAACCACAGTATTGACTTATTCAATATCTTCCGGCCGGACAGGATGTGGTAACGGTATAATTGATTTCTTCTCTTTATCTCTTGATAGAGCTTTCCTCATGTCTGTAAAAAGGAGACATGGAACAAAATATAGGTTAGTAACACAATCTACAATTCAAAGCCCACCCAGTTTCCATCCTGAGGATGTTCAGGGAGCTATTAAGGACATGGCTACAGATAGTCCTCGACTTACGACCACGTTGAGCTCTAAATTTTTGTTGTTAAGGGAGACACTTGTTAAGAGGTAGGGATTTGTCCCATTTTACAACTTTTATTGCCATGGTTGTTAAGGAAATAGACAATAGAATAACAGAGTTGGAGGGGACCTTGGAGGTCTTCTAGTCCAACCCCCTGCTTAGACAGGAAACCCTACACCACTTCAGACAAATGGTTATCCAACCTCTTCTTAAAAACTTCCAGTGTTGGAGCATTCACAACTTCTGGAGGCAAGTTGTTCCACTGATTGCTTGTTCTCACTGTCAGGAAATTTCTCCTTAGTTCTAAGTTGCTTCTCTCCTTGATTAGTCTCCACCCATTGCTTCTTGTCCTGCTTTCAAATGCTTTGGAGAATAGCTTGACTCCCTCTTCTTTGTGGCAGCCCCTGAGATATTGGAAGACTGCTATCATGTCTCCCCTAGTCCTTCTTTTCATTAAACTAGGCATACCCAGTTCCTGCAACTGTTCATCCTATGTTTTAGCCTCCAGTCCCCTAATCATCTTTCTTGCTCTTCTCTGCACTGCAGTTAACAACAAGGTTGTTAAATGAATCCCGTTTCCCCCTTGACTTTGCTCGTCGGAAGGTCGCAAAAGGGGATCATGTGACCCCAGGACACTGCAACCGTCATAAGTACATGCCAGTTTCCAAGTTTTCTCATTTTGATCACGTGACCCCGGGCTGCTGCAATGGTTGTTACATGTAAAAAAACAATCATAAGCCATTTTTTTCAGTGCTGTTGTAACTTCAAACGGTCACTAAGCGAATGATTGGGGACTATCTGTATGTCTTTCTACTTGTGGGTTCCATGAAGAGTTTAACAGATTAAGAGTTGGAAGGGACCTTGTAGGTCATCTAGTCCAACCCCCCACCCAAGCAGGAGACCCTACACCATCTCTGACAGATGGCAGTCCAGTCTCTTCTTGAAAGCTTCCAATGATGAAGCTCCCACAACTTCTGAAGGCGACTTCTCTTCCATGGGTTGATTGTTCTCCCTGTCAGGAAATTCCTCCTTGTTTCCAGGTTGAATCTCTCCTTGGTCAGTTTCCATCCATTATTCCTTGTTTGGCCTTCAGGTGCTTTGGAGAATAGCTTGACCCCCTTCCTCTTCTCTGTGGAAGCCCCTCAAATATTGGAACAATGGGAACAGATTTGGTTGAAAAATATGAAATTAACCATAGCCTCCTCATATAAAGAAAACATATATAAAATGGTCTACCGGTGGCATCTACCCCCGGCGAGATTAGCTAAAATGTTTCCCGGGACATCTGCCTGCTGTTGGAAGTGTGGTTACAGCAATGGAACCTATTTTCACCAATGGTGGACCTGCCCGCAGGCGGTTAAATATTGGAAAAAAATACGGCAATGGATTTTGGAAATTACACAGATTAATTTGGAATTAAGACCTGAGATTTTCCTATTAGGGGCAAAACCTTTGAATGTTAAATCAGATATATGGTTCTTGTTGATTCACATTATCACTGCAGCAAGATTAGCGTATGCGCAGGAGTGGAAAAATCAATACTTACCGATAGATTTGAAAATAATATATAAAATTAATGACTAACTAGATTGATCAATGATAAAAAAGATTCAGAATTTTATAACAGTTGGAAAGTATGGTACAATTGGGTCCAGAAAAGGTGGGATAGAATAGATATATGATGATGTATATATATATGGTGGCAAATATGTATGTATAAAGGAATGATTTTATACTTATGGACAATGTAATCATATTATACCATGGTGGCAGGATTGTATATTTTATTTGTGTATTAGTGTATAGAATATATTAATAAAAATTATATAAAAAAAACAAAAACAAATATTGGAAGACTGCTATTCTGTCTCCCCTGGTCCTTCTCTTCACTAAACTAGTTATAGGAGTGATGCTCTGTTAGGATATGGTGCTTGCCTAACAGGTTGGCCAGGCAATATATAAGCTAACATGATGAATAT